TGTATAAGAAAGCAACTGATTTCTGTACATTGATTTTGTATCCTGTCACATTACTGAATTGCTGTATGAGTTCTAGTAGTTTGGGGATAGTCTTTTGGGTGTTCCATATAAAGTATCATGTCATCTGCGAAGAGAGAGAGTTTGACTTCTTCACTGCCAATTTGGATACCTTTTATTCTTTGTGTTGTCCGATTGTTGTTGGTAGGACTTTTAGTACTATGTTGAACAACAATGGTGAGAGTGGGCATCCTTGTCATGTTCCTGATCTCAATGGGAAGGCTGTCAGTTTTTCCCCATTGAGAATGATACTCATTGTGGTGTTTTTAATTTTTAATTTTTAATTAACATATATGTATTATTAGCCCCAGGGGTACAGGTCCATGAATCGCCAGGTTTACACACTTCACAGCACTCACCATAGCACATACCCTCCACAATGTCCGTAACCCAACCACCCTCTCCCTACCCCCTCATTGTGAGTTTTGCATAGATAGATTTTATGAAGATGAGGAATGTTCCCTCTATTCCTATACTCTGAAGAGTTTTACACAGGAAAGGATGCTGTATTTTGTCAAGTGCTTTTTCTGCATCATTTGAGAGGACCATGTGGTTCTTCTCTCTTCTCTTATTAATTTGTTCTATCACATTGATTGATTTGTGAATGTTGAACCATCCTTGTAACCCAGGGATGAATCCCACATGGTCATGGTGGATAATCTTTCTTTTTTTAGTATTTAATTTATTTATTTGACAGAGAGAGAGAGATCACAAGTAGGCAGAGAGGCAGGCAGAGAGAGGGGGTAAGCAGGCTCCCCACTGAGCAGAGAGCCCCATTTGGGGCTCGATCCCAGGACCCTGAGATCATGACCTGAGCTGAAGGCAGAGGGTTAACCCACTGAGCCACCCAGGTGCCCCGGATAATCTTTTTAATATGCTGTTGCATCCTATTATCTGGGATCTTGTTGAGAATCTTGGCATCCATATTCAGCAGGGATTTTGGTCTGAAATTCTCCTTTTTGATAGGGTCTTTGCCTGGTTTGGGGATCAAGGTAGTGCTGGCTTCACAGAAAGAGTCTGGAAGTTTTCCTTCTGTTTCTATTTCCTGAAACAGCTTCAGGAGAATAGGTATTATTCTACTGTGTATTTACTCCAAAGATACAGATATAGAGAAAAGAAGGGCCATCTGTACCCCAATATTCATAGCAGCAATGGCCACAATCACCAAACTGTGGAAAGAGCCAAGATGCCCTTCAACAGACGAATGGATAAAGAAGATATGGTCCATATATACAGTGGAACATTACGCAGCCATCAGAAAGGATGAATAACCAACTTTAGGAGAAGGAAAGGAAGAGTGAATTGGGTAAATCAGAAAGGGGGACGAAGCATGAGAGACTGTGGACTCTGAGGGTTTTAGAGGGGAGGAGTGTGGGGAAATGGTGAGCCTGGTGGTGGGTATTAAGGAGGGCATGTACTGCATGGAGCACTGGATATGGCACACAAAAAAATGAATCTTGGAACACTGAAAAAATAATATAATAAATAAATAAATAAATAAATAAAATATGTTCATATCACTGAAGGAAACCATGTCTGAAAAATTAAAAGAAAGTTTGAGAATGATGTCTAATCAAAGAGAATATCAATAAAGAGGCAGAAATTATTGAAAAATCAACTAAATAGAAATTGGTTAAGCATCTGCCTTCAGCTCAGGTCATGATCCCAGGTCCAGGGATCGAGTCCCATATTGGCTCACTACTAGCAGGGGAGCCTGCTTCTCCCTCTACCCCTCCCCACTGCTCGTGATCTCTCCCTCTCTCTCTCTCTGACAAATAAATAAAATCTTGAAAAAAAAAATTGTGGAATTGAAGAGTACAATAAAATACAAACTTCATGAGAGGGACTCAACAACAGACATGCACTAGCAGGAGAGAGAATCAGTGAGCTCAGAGAGACATGAACTGCTTAGCCAGTCTGAGGAGCAGAAAGAAAAAAGAAAAGAAAAACAAACAGAACTTCGGAGACCTGTAGGACACAATCAGGAAGAGCAGCACATAGAGAAACTGGAGCTTCTTCCACACATGCCTCTGCCCTTGTTTCCTGGACTTTCCTCATAGCCCGGCCCCGAACACCAGTGTTCACTCCTGCCTCAAACAATTAAACCGAGACGGCATCCTGCCCTCAAGCCAGAGGGAGATGACAACAACTCAGCACTTGCTGAAGGGAGAGAAACAAGAGCAAGCACTCAAACATGTTGATGAAATACAAGATAAAACACACTTAATGAACATGGCAGAGAGGAGATTTTGAAAGCAGAACAGGACCATAACAAACCCTGCCAAAGAGGTCAGAACCGACTGCCAAAATCCCAAATTTGGGGGGGAGAACATTTGTCAACCATCCACAAGGGTCTGCACTGCTCGGGGAGGAGGTGTCGCGTTATCTGACAAGAGTTGAAGTGGCAGAATTTGAAGATACTAAGTCAGGTTACAGAATAGAATAGTATTTTGATGAAAATCCTTACTTTGAAAATAAAGTTCTCTTCAAAGAATTTCACGCGAATGAGAGTAGTGCTCCACTGTCGAAGTCCACTGAAATCAAATGGAAATCTGGAAAGGATTTGGTGAAATGTTGAAGTCAAACATAGAATAAAGCCAGCAGGAAGGGACAGCCTGAGGAACCAGAGGCCTAGCTTCTTCAGCTGGCTACGGACCATTCTGATGCAGATGAGTTCGGAGAGGTCCTCAGAGATGGTGTTTCGCCAAATCCATGACAGTACTACTTGGTTCCTGATACAGGTGATGAAGAAGGGGAAGGAGAAGATGATGATGATGATGATGACGAAGAAGGTATGGAAGACACTGATGAGGATGAAGATGAAGAAGATGAAGGAGATAATGAGGGAGAGGAAGGAGAGGCTGATGAAACAGAAGATGACTAATGGAATACTGACGGAGTCTAACCTTCCTTTTTTAATTCTCTCCAGTCTCTGGGAGCAATTTACAGTCTTTTTCCCGCTCCCTACTCTTGTGCTCATTTGTCCTGTTTTTTTGAAGTCTCTTTTCTTTCCTTTTATACCATGGTTCTCAACTTATTTTGGGGAGAAATATCTGGAGCAGAATACTTTGGGAAAAGAATGTCTATCCCTTTCTGTTCCAAATTTATTTTTATCCCTTTCTGTCTCAACAAAATCTTGATGGAATCAACGCCACTGTGATCTGTGGGAAAAATTAAAAACCTGCTCCCTTAGCTCTGTTGGAAGTTGGAGGGTGCTAGGCCCTTGTGTGGCAGTGCATAGAATTCCAGCTTTTTTTTTCTCCTTTCTCTGTATATTGGGACCCTGAATAGCCAAAACGATCTCGAAAAAGAATAAAACTGGAAAACTCACACTTTCTAATTTCAAACTTACTACAAAGCTACAGTGATCAACACAGTGTGGTGCTAACATAAGGAGAGACATGTACATCAATAGAACAGAATTGAGAGTCCAAAATAAACCCTTACACTTGTGGTCACCTGATTTTCAACAAGGATGCCAAAACCATTCAATGGAGAAAGAACAGTCCTTTTGACAAATAGTGCTGGGAAAACCGGATAGCTATATGCAAAACAATGAAGCTGGACCCTTAGCTCGAAAATTAACTCATCATGTAACAGAGACCTAAATGTGAATGCTGAAACTATAAAAATTTTACAAGAGAACATTGGAGTGAGACTACAAAATTGGCAGTTCTCTCAATAACTCCTATGTAATATTTACTAAAGGATAAGTAATCTAAATGTGCTAACAAGCTTACATGTTATTAGAACTCAACAGTATCTGTAGCAATTGATTAGAACTCAAAATCTTTTTCAATGAATATACTTTATCATTGTCATTTAGAATTGCCTGTGAATGATGATGACAAAAAGCTGAATGACGTTTAGTCATTTTCATTATTATATTTAAATTCCCTACAGTCAGTGTATGAACACACAAGGTTTACATCAGGTACAGACTCCACTGTGCTCTGTCCCTGCTGCTTCCAAGGCCCTGCACCACGGAGGTGGCACCGTCATTCCCACCATCCAGCCCCTCCTGTAGCATTGTTCTGTCCTGAATTTTGAATTAAGATCTTCCATTCTTAGTTTAATTTCTGAACAGAAAAGCTTTTATTATCTAGAGAAACCATTCTGTTCTGCATTTCTCCAACTATATTTAAGTCAGTGAAGTTAACATGGTTGATCAGAACATGCTTTCCGATGCTTGCAAAAGACGATTTCAGCTATATGCAAATAACTGTAGGTAGTATTCCATCAGAAAAGCTACCAAATGTTAACAACACAACTCCACACTCGAACTTGAAAAGACAGATGTGCCATGACCAGCTTGTCACACTACTACATTATATGCTCTAAAACTTCTTACTCAGGTATCTGTAAAGAAAACTTTAAATTCAAACATGTTACAAGAACAAAATAACACCAATCCAATTATTTAATTAGGGAAGAAGAGATCTCAAATATTTCCTGCTAACTTGTGGCCACGTGCAAAAAAAGACAAGAATCTGCAAGAAAGGTATACTGCAGAAGCATCAAGTGATAATAACATATTCCAATAAAATCTTATTCACCAAAGTCACCCTGTACTCGTGACCCCTGACACTGGGAAAGCCTAGAGGTGACATCTGTCAAGGAGTAAGAACTGGTAGAACCAGCAGGTCAATTCTAAGGAAGAATAAGACGTGGGCACACAAGAGCAGTATAAATACCCAATACTACTGACCATGAAATGTGATAAAAAATTGAACTTCCACCAAATGGACTGTTTTTTAAAACTCTGAGCTGTTTTATAGACTTGCCAAATTACCTATTAATTTAAAACACAAGGGAAATGCCCCATAATATAATGATGGTTACAATGAGGTAAACTGTAAGGTAGCTACATAACAAAGACATAATGAACTTCAAAAGGCTCCAAAATAGAGGGGCGATGGGGGAGGCACATGACAGTTACTTACCTTTGATCAGCAGCTTGTAGAACTGGGGCTCTAACGCTCCAACAGCCATGAAGCCCCCATCTGCCGTCTTGTAAGTTGTGTAGAAAGGTGCTCCACCATCTAGTAAGTTCTGTCCTCGAGGCTTTTCCCACAGTCCTGTTTCTTGAGATTTCCACAGAAAAGAACTCAGGTATGCGGCTCCTTCCACCTTTGAAGAAGAAACAGGATACAATATGAATCCAATACTTAAACTATAAAAGCATGATTAATTCCCACTTAGATTTTTTTAAACATTGGTATAAAAATGTTTCTTGGTAATTAACAAAACTTCGATATTTCATGAAAGTATGTTAGAACAAGTTTATGATACAGGGTTTCTCTACTATTCAGGTCAGAAGATATTTTTCAGAAAAGACTTAGAAGGAACTACTTTTGTTCTCCCCTTCAAATAAAACTGCCAAATGTTGACAATTTTTGATGTCAAGGGAGGGCACATGGAAGTTCATTATATATTCTCCCTTTAATTATATATGTTTAAAACTATCAGGATAAAAAGTTAAAAATAAAGCAAAGAGGTTTTTAAAAAATCTATTTTTGATCTCAATACCTATAAACACATATATGTAGATCCATGAAGAATATCACATTATAAAGGTAAATCATATTACAATTAAATTTAGCTTATTTTAGTTTGACTCCAAGCCCAATAAAACTGTATTTGAGCATTTAATATATTTTAATTTTAACAATCACTAAAAAGTTACAAAATAAACACAACAATATGAATGGCAGATATATGGGGTTTTTGAGTCCAGACAACTAGTTGAGGAATGCCCATTTCCCCGCTGAGTCCTGAAGTAACAGTAACAGATTCATGTTCTCAGGTGTAATTGTTACAGGCTGGATGCATGGGGCTATCCAAAGAAAACTACTTCCCTATGCTTATGACTTTGTGATCCTAATGATTCTAGGCCCCCAGTGAGAAGGCCATCAAAGCACCCTTGTCTCAAAGAGTTGGAATGGAGTGGGCCTATGGAATTCCTCACAGTTACTGGCTGTGAAACAAATACAAAATGTATCTCTGGATATATCCTGATTTTCCTTTTTAACCTGAAATCTCATGCACACCTCAGTTTATGGCTCTGACATCTGACATACCAAATAGTGTATTCTGTATAGGTGGCCTAAAGAGGTGCTTCTTTTGAAACAGGGTACACAGATTTTAGAGAGTCCCCATATCTATATATACACATGTACATGTACATATACAGACACACACATAGAATGAGACACCACATATGAAGACACATACACACACACACATGAATATACATCTATGTAAAATCTCACCGGGTCACCCACACCAGAAACAGGGGAGTCAGGACACCTACAGGGCTCAGTTGGTTAAGTGACCAACTCCTGATTTCAGCTTGGGTCCTGATCTCAGGGTCCTGGGATGGAACCCTCGGGATTCCTGCTCAGTGGGGAGCCTGCTTGAGGATTCTCTCTCCCTCTCCCTCTGCCCCTCCTCTCACTCAAATGCACACACATACACGCTCTCTTAATAAATAAATCTCAAAAAGAAAAAAAAAAGAAACAGGGGAGTCAGCCTTGACTCCTCCCTCTCCCCTCACTGCTAATGCATCATCAAATCCTGGCAATTTTACATCTCAGAGATAAATAGCCCTTAAACCCAGACCCATTCTATCACCAACGACTTTAGTGCTCCCACTTCTCTCTCAGCAACCACCAGGAACTGTCTCTCTGCCCCCAGTCTTGTCTTCCTCATCCATCTCCATTCTCCCTCCAAAGACCTGCCCAAATGCAAACCTGTAGGGGTGCTGGACTGGGCTCCTTCCAAGGCGCTGAGACAACTTGGACAAGTTTCCATGCTTTGGTTTCCTCCTCTTTAAAATAATGTATTCCAAGCGAAACTGCTGATTTGAAGATGAGGAGAAACTGCATGGAGGAAGTGCTCTGCATAACACAAGGCCCGTGTTCAAGGCGGGGCAGTGAAGAAATGCAAAGCCTCATAATGTTGGAGTCTCCCCAAAAAACGTAGAAGGAAGGTCTAGACTGGCCCATTTTACTTTAGCACCCATAAGAATCTTCTCTTTCTATTTGCTAAGGGAGCCTTCTGGAGCTCAGTTTCAAATGAAGATTGCTTGAAAAATGTATATGAAGCACAAGAAATAGTGTGGGGAAAATTGCTGAACCCAACATTGGAATCAGATGAGCCATGAAAAGTTCAGAGAATTGATTCCACAAACAGATAATCAATGATGACATTCTGACACATGTAAAGGATATGAAGCTATTTTCAAGAAAAGGATGTTCTTGGTAATATGGGTTCCAACTTAGAATCCCACCTCTCTCTTGTCCTATTCAGAAAAGAACCTGAGGCAGCTGCCCATCAGACTTGGGAACAACTGGGAGGTTCATCACTTCCCCTAATTAACACTTACCATGCTTACGTCAATGACCTGACCTTTGCCAGAGCGCGTGCGTTCAAATAGAGCCAACAGGATGCCCAGCGTGCACATGAGGCCACCACCGCCAAAGTCAGCCAGTAGATTCAGTGGGGGAAATGGATTCTCACCACTTCTGCCAATTTTTGACAGGACACCTACATCATTTAAAAAAAAAAAAAAAATCAGGGAACAGTACCTATAAATTTAACGTCTCTTTTAAATAAATACATGAACACCTTAAGAGTAATAACCAGTCTCTCTAGCTGCTGACATAGTGAATACTAGTACATAATGCTTTTCCAAATCTAAACTTATTCAGCTTATCTATAAACAGGCTTTCCTCCCCCCCTTTCCTTGTTTTGTTTTTCACCTTTTTTTTTTCTTCTCTAAAACTTTACTCCAACTAATGCTTTCAGAATTTCATTACTCAGTTTTTACTCACTGAGTTTCAGGGAAAAAATTATTATCATTAATTACTGTTACTAATTTAGTTCATCAATTATATAACAGGATAATCCACTGCCATTCTTATTAGAAAGAGACACAAGAAAATAAACACAAGAAAAATAAAAGTGACTACATTTTAAAATAGCTGGAAAAAAACAATTCTATCCTCACTCTTTTCCTCAACCTTTCAATTTGTTCTCACAGGATATTTGAGACTCAAAACTCAAAAACACACACTTTCTTAGGATCCTAGGATTGGGTCATTCTAAGACTCAATCTCATAGGTAAAAATTCTAATAAAGTGATAATACGACCTGAAAACTAGAGGTATTCGGTAAAGTCTAAAATAGTGACTCAGGCAATGATTCTCAATGAAGTTGGAAGAAAAGGGGAGTCAGGATGAAACAATATTAGCATTTTCAAACTATAGGACCATCAGGTCTCTTTACTTCCTGGTAGGGGCTTGACTGAGAATTGATTATACAAATGCAGTAAGTAAATGTTACTAGCCAGAATTTATTATTCCTCAAATGTGTGAAGACAAGGAGAAAGGGGTTGAGAATAACTGTTCCAGAACAAACCAACCCCTCCTTTTTAGTTTTAACTAGGTTCCATGGGCAAAGTGGGGCTTGAACTCACAACCCTGAGATCAAGAGTTGCATGTTCCACTGACAGAGCCAGACAAACCCACCCTTTTTGAGCGACCATGGTTCCCTTATTGATTTTCATTAATATTTAAATCTGCACCTTTGAAAATTCTTTGTAATTAGTGTAACTGTCCATCTTGACTGGGACCAAAAAATTATTTTCTCGATGTACCTGACAAAGCCAAATAGTTGATGTCATGGCCTGCTACTTTAGAGAATCTTCCGGACTGGCCAAATCCACTCAATCTGGCATAGATAAGCTTTGGATTCTCCTTCCGCAGAACCTCTGGGCCTAGCTGGAGTTTCTCCATGACACCTTAAGAGGAAAGTAACAGTGATTTTTTTTTTAAAGAGAATGAAACTGAGCATATAATCCCATCACTGTAGCAAACAAGAAACGGCACTCTTCCAAGTCATACTAATAATGTTTGTTGTGTGTTTTAGCATGTTTCCAAGAATTAGGGACACAAAGAGTGAGGCCACCATTTCTGGAATGAATGACATCTGCCCCAGAATAGTTTGTCCCTCCAGCCCTTCCTTCTTTCCCTTCAGGCATATCCAAGTTCCTTCAGCCCCCATAGTATGCCTTTCATTTCTTGAGTCAGTGCCTTTATAGCTCCCCAAATCCTCTGCTTAGTCATTTATTAGAAATGGTCTGTTCTCTTGGAAGAGTTACCTTGGAGCTTTATTTGGTCAAAAATACACTTTCGAAAATGGCTATTCCTTTCAGGATCTTTTCTTTTTCTGTACCTTTATCATTGCCCACCACCTTCTACCTCATGCTGTGCTTATGTGTGTAGATATTCCATCACCTTTGGTATCAGCTTAGAAACCTCTGGTAGGATTCATGCCTGATCTGTTTCCTCGGGCCTCTACATACAGTACCTAGCATGGGTACCTTCACAAAAGGCTCAGCAATATCCATGGAAAGATTTGCTAAAATAGCATCTAAGAGTTCTTATAAGTACCATATTTGCACAAAATTCAGATAACTGGCACTTTAAATCTCCTGGGACTAAAGATAATAAATATTATACAATAATTTTCTTGTCTTTGTCTTCCTAAAGCTATGTAAACTACCAAAAAACAAAAAACAAAAAACTCTAGTCCTCTGCTTAAATAAACACCAGCCACAATTCTCTCACCCAGCAGCTATGCCTGTATTCAGGGCTCCATTTTCCCCCTAATTCCAAGACCCTGGAATCAACCATGTTGAGCCTCCACCTTTAAACAAGGCATTATTAAATTGTGATACAATCCTAATTATTAAATTATTATAGTCCTCCAATCTGCTGTGAGGATAAATGAGTGAACACCTTTAATATGTCTGGTGCCCCACAGGCATTCAATTCATTCACCAAACATTTTCTGACTTCCTGCTATACACCAGGCAAAGCTTTGGTTTAGTACTTGAGCAAGTTTACCCCAGCAGCTATGCGAGAATGGATGCAAGTGGTGCTAGACCCAGACATCAGCTTTGAAAAGGCTGTTGCAACAGTGTGAAGGAAGCTACAGCAAGTATGGAAAGCCAGAGTGAGAGCAAGGAGGAAGGATGTCTGGATTCCTGATAACTGTAAGCAAATGAGTGAATATTTGGAGTTACGGATGGAGTGCAGGCTTATGATTCAGTCACCTGGGTGGCTTGCTGGTTCCATTTACTGAGAGAAATAATATAGAACGAGGAGATGCTATTCTAGGAGGTAAGATAATGGGCTTGTTTTGGGATTTGTGGAAGTTGCCATGCCTGGGAGACAGCCAGCTAAGATGTGCAGAGCTTGTGCAGTCCAGCGGTCTGTGGCTCTCAAAGAATGGGGAGGAGGTACAGTTATGTATTTGTTATATATTCGCTTATAAGAGGGGAAAACAGTCTCGGAATAGATAAGGTGGCTCCAGGGGTCAGAGTGTAAACTAAATTGATCTGAAGCCGGAACTTGGGAACGGGAATGCCAGGATTTAACAGTGTTAGCCTGGGTCAGAGGATGGCTTTTAGAGGGTACATCAACCCCCCAAACTGTAGAAAAACGACTATGTACCTATCTGCAGTTTTCCAGGTGGGGAATCTCTGGCTTTCGTTAGATTCTCATAGGATTCGTGACCCTCAAATAATAAAATAATAAAGAAAGGCAAATGCAAAGAGGCGATTAGAAAAATGAGGAATTTGGGAAGGAGCGGGGAATGGGTATAAGGAGAGCAGGGCAACAGCGGTATCTAGGATTCCAAGTACAGACGATCATTTCAAGGGGCGAATGGTCAACAATAGCAAACGCGACAGAAAAATCTAGAAAGACTCTGACAGGGACGGGTCCGAGTGGGAACAGGGAAGGAGTGTAGAGGGCGCAGCTTGTCTAACGACCCGGCCTGGCTCCTCCCTTCGGCGGGGACCCTCCCGCGTCTGGTTCCCCAGCGGCGCTGCGGAGGCGTCCGGGGCTCACCGTAGCGGAAGGGCTCAAGCACCACATCCGTCCGGGCGCAAAGGCGCCGCAGCACAGCCGCCCCCTGCGGCCGCTTCAGGTCCACTGCCAGCGAGCGCTTGCCCCGGGCCAAGAAGCTCCAGTCCCTGCGGGCACCCAGCCGGTCCACACGCACCACCTGCGCCCCGAAGTCAGCCAGGACCATACCGCAGTACGGGCCCGGGGCCAGGCCAGCCAGCTCTAGCACCGAAATGCCGTGCAGCGCCATGCGTCCCGCGTCTCCAAGTGCAGAAGTGTCCGGACTCACATCTTGCCCGGACCGCCGGAGAGGCTTGTCCTCCCGGGGGTCCCTCCCTCTTGCGCTTGCGCGGGGCCCTGTCCTGGAGTCTGCGCACTGGGCGGATTCCGGCCCCCACTCCGGGCCGAGTCCAAAGGGCGCTTTCCCTTCGCCTTGGCTCCTTGCGTTTGAGGCGTTGCTTAACACCTGACTGAGACAGGATTATTTTTTGCCTCCCTCTCTGCCTAGACTCTGTTAAACTGAGGCTTGTTTAAAAAAAAAAAAAAAAAAAAAAAAAAAAAATTTTTTTTTTTTTTTGAACAAAATATCTGTACTAATTAACCAGCACCAAAAAGGAAGTGGTTAGGAGCATTCTACCAACAGGATCTGGAGAGAGGCTTTTATAGAGAAAAGCAAGTAAATGATTGGTTAGCAATAGATTAAAGCCTACTTGGCTGTTTGTGATGGGTTGTCCTTAGGTTCCAATTTCATAACTTTGAGGCCTTTACAGGATTAGGTTTTGCTTTGTTTAGTCAGTTGCCAGCGCACTGGAACCACAGCAGTCTAACGGCCTCCTTGTTTTATTAATATAACACCTCTTTGTCCCTCTCTAGCCCGTGTTCCTACCTCTGTTCAGACATAAGCTTCCTTACCCCCTTCTTTGTTTTATTTTTAGTTTAAAAAACTTAAAGAGAAAATTGCAAAGAATGATAAGACATTCCAGACTGACACAATATTTTTTCATTATTTGCTTCCAGACTACTGTTCCTAAAAAATAAACAGTATACATATAGCTTAGGCTAACAACCAGGATCAGATTCACATGAGTCACAGATATTACCCAGCATCAAGTTTTACTAATAGGTTCAAAGATACAGGCCATGGAAAGGCTCAGCCAAATCAGAGGTCTGGAAAATCTCACATGGCCCTTCTTTCCTACATAGGACACATACCCTCTGTTACAGATTGAAATATGTCCCTTCAAAATTCATATATTGAAGTCCTACTTCTCAGTACCTCAGAATGTGACTAGGGCTTATAAAGAGGTAACTAAAGTTAAATGAAGTTATATGGGTTGGCCCTAATTAATACGGCTGGTTTCTTTATGAGAAAAGATTAGGACACAGAAAGCAAGGACTGAGGGATGGCCATGTGAGGACATAGCAGAAGGTGGCTATCTGCCAACCAAGGAAAAGAGCTTCAGACGAAACCAAACTTGCAGATATCTTGATTTTGTACCTTTAGCCTCTAGAACTGAAAGAAAATGGCTTTCTGTTGTTTAAGCTGCCCAGCCTGTAGTACCTTATTATGGAAGCCTGAGCAGACTAATACAACTATTAAGAGGGTTGGGGGCGGGGGCAGTTAGGATGTTTTGTTATAGCCCTAGCAAAATAATATACCCTCTGACCCATGACTATAGTTTAGGTCTCTAATGAGTTTCTCAGGTACCTAACAGACTTCATTTTACATCCCAGGCAGTTACTTAGCTCTGGAACCATGCTTCTTAGGTTTTGGGTTTATTTAGCATAAGTAAAGGGCTATGTGTTAAATGCATCAAATAGATAAGTCCTCTTCCTTCTAGCAGCTATCATTCATCTATTTACCCAAGATAAATAGGTACAAAAGGTACAACTGACAAGGAGAGTCACCTGCCTTTTTCTTTATCCCTCAAGTCATCCATGTACTAAAGGGAGTAAATAGATCACACGCCATCTGCTTTTTAACATTTTCCATAGCTAAAGTCTCCTTTACCTTTCCCTCCTACCCAAATTTACATTTCTTTGCTGGTGCTCACTCCACCAATCAAGACACATGCACTCCCATGATTTTGATACATGTTCCACAGTCTGTTATATCTATTGATGCTGTAACTATACTATTTATATACTGTATTTTGTATACATATATCATATTCTGTAGTTTAAATTTACATAAATGATGTTACATGGCAATCACTCTTCTGAACTTGCTTTTGTAGTCCATCTTATCCTAACTTGTCTCCCCATTTCTACCCCTTTCTCTTAGGTCAGTCAGATTCTTGGCTTTAATCAAATAGCTTACATAATTGCTTGATGTTACTGAATTCAGGCCACTGGAGTCCCACCCGAGGTCAAAGCATGAAAGTCTGGTGGGGACATAGATCTCCACAGTTTCCACTTGCCTCTGCCCTGCTGAGAGATTTATACCAGCCTGATTCTGGGCCAAAAGAATAGAGGTACTTACTTGAAGGGTCTCCCACTGATGATTAAGATGGAGCCATTAAATTATAATAATGACTCTGGTGGATTGAAACATATTAAATATACGAAAAATCATAAGTTAATAATAATGCTTTTTAAGAGATCTTATTAATCACTTTGAAGACGTCTAGGACACTAACTCATTATTATAAAAATTGATAAATAAAAGTGAAAAAAAGATTAAGCATCTATCTTGTCTTCCATATAAACAGTATTTCAGAATAACCAAAGAGCTAGTGAAATGCTAGTAAAATGTCACTATTTTCACACAGTGAAGGAAACTATCAACAAACCAAAAAGGCAGCCTACTGAAGGGGAAGAGATGTTTAAAAATGATATATCCAATAAGGGGTTAATATCCAAAACATATGAAGAACTTACACAACTGAACATCAAAAATAACCACATAATCCAACTAAAAATGGGCAGAGAGGGACACCTGGGTGGATCAGTTGGTTGAACATCCGACTCTTGGTTTTGGCTCAGGTCATGATCTCATGAGTCATGGGATCAAGCCCCATGTCAAGACTTGAGTTGGGCCCGGGGCTCAGTGTGGAGTCTGGTTGAAACTCACTGTGGTGACTTATAATGTATGACTATTCAACTTTATTAAGAACATTATAAAACAATACATTTAACAAAAGTATGTTTATTTCCATACGATGCTTTTACATTTTTCTCGTCTCAGTTTTATCTAAAGCTAAGCCAATGTCTTCTTCTAAGGTACTTTATTAATAATGTATGTTCTTTAAACATGGAATCCCTTTGGGCAACATGCAACATTCAGTTGTCTATTGGCAATACACTTTTACAAGGTATTTATGATGTTTGGAAATAGTAAACCTCAACACCCATGACTTTACAGCCCCAGAAGCAACTGGAGACATATACAAAATCACAAAAACATTACCAACCAGTCAAGCACATTTTGGCTAATATCCATTCACTTTAAAATAGCATTGTTTGTGTTGGTCAGGAAGAGTTTAAAAATATTTATAGATCAAAAGAATGGGTCAAAGACAGAACTGAACATGGAGTACACTAAGTTAGCTAATAGGGCAGCCCTAATTAATTTCTTCTGCTTCTAGCTATAGGGGGTAATCAGTACAACTAAACCCACAGTTTAAAAGCCTTTATGGAAATTGAAAATGTAACAGAAAATAAAATAAGGGATAATTGCTTTCTAAGGGAATTCATTAAATGATATGTTTCAGATAGGTATCTCTCTAGTGCATTATAAATATGATTCAACATCAGGATAAACACATACTCCAATGATGCTTTCTTTGCTTAAAATAAACAAATTTTGGGTACTATCTCCTGAACTTGTCCCTTTTCGGGGAAGGACAGGCAAAAGTAAAGGAGCACAGCTCCATTGTAAGTATTGCCTAAATATGGTGATCAAAAAAGCCGTATCAATTTTTATCTTTAAAAACGTTAAGAGATTTTATTTTATGTCTTCTAAATGGAATGCCCTTATATTTTTTATCCATTGGTTTGTATATAACTGAGTTTACAGCTCCTCAAATGACATGTCGGTAAAGTTCATTGGGGTAATTTCTAAATTGAGAGAGAATAAGAGAATAAGGACATTGTGTATACTGTGTATATGGACATAAGCTCACCTCAGCTGGTTCTCCAGGCCAGGGTCAACAAAGATCTATTGTAACACAAGAAACCCAATGGGAAAAAGCCAATATGATAAATCATATCTGATAAACCCAATTTTGGATCATGAGAAAATTCTATATCCAAAAACATAAACCATTACAAGTCAAGATTTAATTACAGCAGTATTCTTATTTTTTAAAAAAGAGTCCATTATTTATGGACATTGTAAGTACTTTCCTTATCTAAAAGCTATCTGGAATTACTAAAATTATCTATATTTATTCATAAATATTGACCCAGCAGATCAAAGTGTTACTTCCCAGTCTAGGCTTCACAAATGTTTCTGGTAACTTGGTCCTCGCAAGTGCCCTTTTTTCTGACCGACCCCACCCTAGTGACTGCACTCTTATCTCTGAAATGTTATGAAGAATGATGAACCCCAAACCTCAGGAATTCCTGGAAGTTGCTATTAAATTAAAAACAGAGCAACCAAATTCTTTACAAAGGACTTCTTTGATGGAAACAATTATTTCCAACCTGTATCAAGAAGGAATTCTTCTTTAGGTGCCTGGGGAAGAGTAAACATGCCAAGTATATTAATCAAGGTCACTTGAGAAGACTGTTTTGTGGATTCTTCTTCTGAGCTCCTGAGTAGAACCCTTAACCCTAATATCCCTCAGATCACAACAATACCAGCTCAGCCATAAGTCTTCCCAAAAGTAGAGCTGGTCTATTCATATATTCACTTGGTTTCAAAGAGGAGGAAGCCTGCAAAGGTAGAGAAGCGCTGGTGGTCCCCATGAAGAGCGCCATTGCCCATTCTCAGCCAAACCTCATCCCCTTTAGCCAGCTTCAGTACTGCATGGTTGCTGGATGTATCTGACTTCCCCTTTGTTTCATAGCTGTAAAGAAAAAAAGGCACCAACTACTTAGCCTTTGCAATAGAAAATCAACTCTTTACCAAAATATGTCCTCCCCTTCTTCTCCAGGCTCTCATGCACTTAGAGTTCTAGGATTAAGTTCTCCAAATGGCATGTGAACAGACATGTACCACTTCTAGAATTGGACAACACAACTCTCCCAAACCCCTCTTCTTGGTTTTTCCTCATTATGACCATGTGGAATGGTAATGACGATGACCAGAATGACCTGGAAGCCAATTGTTGTAGCCTGAGTTCTTGAAAACTGTGTAGTAGGAAGCTCTCTCTCTCACTTGTCCCAACCTAGAACAACCA